GATGTTAGCGATTGGCAGATGGACCCAATACTTGTTGCATAATTTTTGGAACTAATAAAGTCAACTAACTACAGTATTCTTTCAGACCATGTTTCAGTCACAAAACACCAAGAGCTTTACCATTACATATCGTAAAGTTAAAGATTTATTCTATGTAATAATAATAATCTTTGCATTTGATACAATGCCTTATCACGTCTTCGAGATATCTCAAAGCGCTTCACAGAATATACTGTAAAGTGAATTGACTGCAGATTTTGTGGACGAAATGCAGCAGCCAATTGCACACAGCAGTGTCCCAAAAAACAGTTGTGCATTGAATGAACATTTTTAAAAAAAATTATTTTGAAGGAATGATTGCCCTTGGAAAAGCCATCCACGAATCGACTAACAACCGGGTTCCTACTTACTGCTAGGAAAACAGAAACGTGTGGAGTAAGGAAATTTGCCCAACATTTCAAACCCAGATCCTCTCACTTCCGAGGCAAGTGTTCTAACCACTAAGCTACAGGACTCCAAATATCACAAACTCTATTTTTGACAGAAGGTTGTTAGGATGTGGGATGACTTGCCGAGAGTAGTGGTTAAGGCAGGCTACATATTAATTTTCAACTGAGTGGTGAGTATGTGGGCTGCGGAGTTTTGGATTAACTGGATTTTGTGGATAGTGGAGCTGGAGAGACTGGTGAGGAGGGAATTTGAGTAGTCGAGCCGGGGGTGACGAATGCACGGATGAGGGTTTTGGCCATGTTTGGGATAGGGTACAGTCGGAGGTAATCAATGTGGTGGAGGTGGAGGAAAGTGGTTCTGGTCAGGGACCGGTGTGGTGTAGGAAGTGGCCAGGAAAGGTGGTTGAGGCCATGGCAGTCATTTAAAAAATAGTTTGATGCTGTGATGGGCGGACGGTCTGGTGTGTGTTCTGAAGGATGATATCAGGTGGGCCTCCTTCATCCAAAGAAATCTCGTGATCTTGTGATTGCTGGCCAGGGCACTGGGAGAAACTCCCTTACAGTGTGATAGGAGTTCACAATCAAGACTGAATTTACTTTGATTTCCTGGGCTCAGTCATGCTACAATTGCCCAGAGTGCCAGTCTCATGCACTTCTAATCACTGCTAGTGACTCGCCAACGTGATTTCGGCCCAAAACAACAAAAACAAGATTACATTCGTATAGCGCCTTCCACGTCGGGAGGACGTCCCAAGGCGCTGGACAGAGTACAGCATTTCAGATCCGAACTGGGGTCGGGGGGGGGCTGGAGGGAGGGGAGGGGAAGGGTGTGGCCGATGGCATGGTCGAAGAGGAGGGTCTTGAGGTGGAACTTGAAGGAGGCTAAGGAGGGGGCGAAGCGGAGTGATTGGGGGATGGAATTACAGAGGTTGGGGGCAGAGTGGTTGAAGGGTCTTCCGCCAATGGTGGGGCAGGTGGGTCGGGGGACGTGGAGCAGCCAGAGCCAGCGGAGCGGAGGGAACGGGCGGGTTGGTAGGGGGTTAGGAGGTTGCAGAGGTAGGGTAGGGCAAGGCCATAGAGGGCTTTGCATGTGAGGACCTGGATCTTGAACTGGATCCTCTGAAGGATAGGGAGCCAATGGAGTCGGGCGAGAGTGGGGGAGATGGGGTCCTGCACCAGTACAGCAAAGCTGGATCTTCTCATTATGATTGTAAAGGGCTTATACCACCTTATACATCAAGCTATCTCAAAGTGCCTTTAATAATAATAATCCTTGTATTTGATATAGTGCCTTACCACATTGTCAAGACATCTCAAAGTGCTTCACAGAATTTTACTGCAAAGTCCAGTGACTTAGAAGTCAACTTTGTAGTCGATCTGGCAGGCAATTTGTGCACAGTCGATGTCCCACAGATAAACGTGAAATGAATGAGCAGTTTTATTTGCAGTATTGTTAGCCAGAACACCTGGAGAAACTCCCTTCTCTTTTTAGAGAATGCCGTGAATGCTTAAATTCCCCCTGAACAGCCAGACGAGACATTGTTTTAGGGTCTCACCAACAGTGATGCACATCCCCAGCACTGCACAGCAATGCCAGATTAGACTGAGTTGTGTATTCTAACAACAACAAATTATATAGCAGCGTTCACATCGGGAGGACGTCCCAAAACACTGAAACGACATGGGGTTGGTTTGACCCTTGAATGCAGAACTTTCTTACTCTGAGGTGAGTGCTACCAATTGAGCCAGTCTGAAACCTGACATGATAGGCATAAGGGGTATGGAATTAAGCAGTGTGTCTCCCTATCTTGCTTGGCGTCAGTCTGGCTTAGTTGTTAGCACGCTCGGTAGCGACCACATATGATGCGCCTACATGTGTCCTGCCGTGCAGCTCAGCAATCCTCTCCGAAGTTGAATAAAAGTTTCCTCCGAGTTGGTGGAACACGGACTCAGGATGTTTGTGCGTATTCCAGAAAATCCAACTTTTCTTTTGAAAACTAGTAAACAAGGTGCTAAATCTGGCCTGGACTTGTCAAACCCTTCCGCTCATCAGACTGCAGGTACAAACTCTACTTAAATTTCAATCACTGCCACTCATTTCATGGCTATTTATGGATCATTGCTATGCACACAATTTGGCTGCTGCATCTGCCTACAAATACACAATCGTTACACCTCACAGTAAAATTCTGTGAAGATATTTGAGACATCTCAACAACGTGATAGGTCATCAAATCAAAGGCAAGGATTATTTTTATAATTACTGCAAAATTACCACCAGGACAGCAGTATAGTAGCACTTTAATGTGATGTGTCTGTTAGTTCCGAGGTTAATTTAATCATATCATAAGCATAAATCAGTTGGTGCTCACTGGAGACTTTAACTTACACTTTTGGGCCATTGCTTCCCTCCATTCTTTGCTAATGAGCAGCTTTTATGGGAATCCGTAGCATAGTGGTTAGCACTCTCGGCTTGCAAGCGAGAGGACCCGAGTTCGATTCCCGGGTGGAGAGGAAACTTAAGCAAGTTTCCCTACTCCAAACACCTCTGTTTATCTAGCCTTAAGTAGGAACCCAGTTGTTAAGTCAATTGGTGGATCACTTTCTGGGATAATAATCCCTCACACCCCAATCCATTCAATCCATATTTGTGGTACATTGCAGTGCGCAATTGGCTTCTGCATTTTGCTCAAAAAAATACACAGTCAATCTACTTTACAATATATTTTGTGAAGCGCTTTGAGACCTCTCGAATGCAAGGATTATTATTGTCCTCATTTTCCACCTCACCTGAAACATTCTTCTCTGTAAACTAGGTGGACGCCAGCAGGATGTCCTGTGTAAGTGCTTGTGAATTTGAATTGCTTTAATGCACAAAGTGATGTGCCAACATTGCTATACTTTTACACTATGTTCTAGTCTAGGGAGACCTTGATGTTTGTTGTTGAGACTGTCACCTTGGAGATGAGCTGCCTGCAGTCTCAATGAGTATTCAATTGCATCCTATTGTCTTTGGGAATGTTCTGGGATCTCTGAAAGGTAGTGAATAGGTAACTACTAAATTTTGTGCTTGGCGCCTGATCACATTTGTCTTATAATCAGCTGCGCTACATCCTATACTGTTTACAGACTGTTTAAATACAACTGTATATGGGACACTACTGTGTGGAATTGGCTGCCGGGTTCCAACCACAAAATACACAGTCAATCCAGTTTACAGTATATTCTGTGAAGCAATTTGCGATGTCTCAATAATGTGAAAAGGCGCTATATCAAATCCAAAGATGACTATTATTATTATTATTAGTATCATTATTATCCCTGCACTTGGTATCATCACCAGAGATAATGGGTAAAAAATGTAATGCTTCAGCTTAGCTGCAATGTTTTAATTGTCACATTGAATGCATCATCGCAATTTAACCCCAGTTATGCTATCCTTTATCTCACTGAACAAGAAATTCACCAGACAACAGGTGCAAAGTGTCCAAGACCAGAAATTCTGCCTGGTTCTAGGCTGAGCAGCAAAAATTCTTCTGACTTTTAGCCCATGAGACCATTTGGCCTTAAAATTTAAGACTAAAGTACAAAATTCTTACGTTCAGTTTCAATTCAGAAAAACATTTTTAAGAACTTCAGAAAATTGGTTTCCAATTTAAGATGGGAGACAAACATTTTCCACAATCTCTGCATTCATAAATATTCAGGTAAAATGATCTCACGGGCTAGTACTTTGTCCAATTTTATACCTTTAGACTATTAAAATTTTCAGAGGATTCAAATTTACTCAAATTCTTGAATTCAGTCTTCATTTAGGAGCGGATTTAGGAGTGGAGAGAGTGACCTATTTTATTGGGGGGATTGTTGACCAGGATACCAGGAAAAACTCCCATCACTTTTCGAATGGTGCCATGGGATCTTTTGCTGCTGTGTGGCAATTGGTTGCCTTCGCCTTAGAGTGAAGCACTTTGAGACTATTGCCCAACATGAAAGGATTATTGTTATTTAATTCGGGGATGAAGCAGTGAGGTAGATTTGTGATAAAAGTGAGATTTCCTGCATAACCCAGTAAAATGCCCCGGGAGGGGAGGAGGTGAGAGAGGGTTGGATTGACCTTCGATCTCCTATGTACTTCCCTGTTGGGCAAGGTTAGGGCAGGAAATCTGCCAGGGCAATGCTTTCTTCAGCCAAAATGCAGGGAAGCTCTAGGGGACAAGAAGGCCCTTTGTGACGGATGCTGGGCCTCGCAATAACTTAAAGCAGAATGGTCCAACCTTTTGGCTACTAAGGGCCGGATGCCCTATGAGAGAAACGTTTGCGGGCCGAACAAGCAATATTTTTGTGTTCCAGAAATGTAAAATAACATTTACGGATTACGGAGGGTGCGTGTGTGCTGGATAAAATGGACTGGGGGAGTGGGGGGGGGGGGTTCGGCGAATGAAATAGGCCTGTAGACCACCTGCCAGTTGCACCACCCTGGCTTAAAGGACTAAATGCAACTGGAAGTTTGTGGAGACTATTACTGAAGCGTTCTTTTCTTTTGTCGTTCAGGGAATAAGCAGAAAGACCTTGGTGTGTAACCCGAGCAGAATCACAACAGAGGATGAATTCCATTCCAACTCTGGAGCCCTGGGCCGAGGGCTTCAACTTCAACTTAAACTTGAATGTGACCGAGCTGCCCGGTCAGAATTACAACTGTACGTTTAACGAGGAGTTCAAGTACATCCTGCTTCCAGTGTCCTATGGAATAGTGTTCGTGGTGGGACTGGTGCTGAATTGCCTGGCGATATGGGTCTTTGTGTTTCGTATGAGACCATGGAACACCACCACCACTTACATGTTCAACCTGGCCATATCGGACACCATGTATGTGATCTCGCTGCCCCTGCTCGTCTACTACTATGCAAGACGCAACAACTGGCCTTTTGGGGCGGCCTTGTGTAAGATAGTCCGGTTCCTGTTTTACACCAATCTGTACTGTAGCATCCTCTTCCTCACCTGTATGAGCATCCACAGATTTCTGGGAGTGTGCTTCCCCATGGAGTCCCTGCGCTGGGTCAAAGTGCGGAACACCAGGATCGTCTGTGCCGTGGTCTGGGTTATAGTGATAATGTGTCAGGCCCCCATTTTAGCTTTCGTTACCACCGAGGATAAAGGCACCAATACTCTTTGTTACGACACGTCCAGCAGAGAGAACTTCAACCAGTTTGTCATCTACAACATGGTGCAGTTGGTCCTGCTCTTCTGTGGGCCTTTTGTAATTGTCATGGTCTGCTACTGGTTCATGACTAAAGAGCTTCTCCGGCCCAACACCGCTCACCCAGAGAATAGCAAATCCAGGAAAAAGTCCATCAAGATGATTGTCATCATTCTCAGCGTGTTTGTCCTTTGCTTCCTGCCCTTCCACATCACCCGCTCGATCTATTACTCCTCCAGGAGCCTGCACCTGAGCTGCAGCACGCTCAACGCGGTCAACCTGGCCTACAAACTGACCAGGCCTCTGGCAAGTGCCAATAGCTGCCTTGACCCAATACTCTACGTTCTAGCCGGGCAGACCTATCGCAGCCAGCTGGCGAGTAAAGGCATGAGGAATGGCGTAAAGAAAATCAAGACTGGGTCTTCGGACACAAAAACAAATAACACACAGTCCATTCTTAGCAACACTGATATTATGCTGGAGTCTATAAAATGAGGATATTGGGATTACCGAGGAACTTTAAGGTCATTCCTCCAAGTGGGAGGGCAAGTCAACTAAGCTGCGAGAAAGGGAGCTAATGGCATCCTACGTTTTATAAATAGGGACTAGAATTACAAAACAGGTCATACCAACCCTGTACGAAACACGGTATAACTGCAGTTGTGTCCATTTCTGGGCACCCCACTTTGTATCTGTTTTTTGTGGAAACCCATCACCATGCTCAAGAATATCCAAACCAGACGGAGAGTTTCATATATGCATGAAAATTGCTCCGTGTCTGGAAATGGAGATTGCGCTCTCTCTCTTGCAGAACGCACCATAGCGAATACTGTCTGGCAACATCCCACTACTTGTCCAGCTCAGACCACCTTATCCACTAGGGCTTTGGCTGGCAAGGTTAACAGGAGCTGAATGGGAAGATTTCTTGCCCTCAGTGCTTGAGGAAGGCCATAGACAGGGTAAAGATGATTATAGGTTTAAGCATCATCAACAGCAACAACAACAAGATTACATTTGTATAATGCCTTTCATGTCGGGAGGACATCCCAAGGCGCTGGACAGTGTACAGCATTTCAGACCCAAGCTGGGGTCAGGGGGGGAGAAGGGAGGGGCTCATGTTGTGATTCTGAGCTCATTCTGCAGACTGATGCTCCAGTGCAATGCTGTAGGGAGCATTGCATTGTCAGAGGTGTTAATCTTTTGTTGGGACATTAAACTGAAGTCCTGACTGCCTGTTCTGGTGGATGTAAAAGACTCCACAGCACTGTTCAAACAGAGGAAGAATGATCAATGGACAAATACTGTACTGTAGTAACTGACTAAAAAAAAATGTCATTTCTCATCTGTTTCCTCCACAATCTATTACTGTTGTTAAGAAGTCAAGCAGCGTTAGGCCGTGCTTTATATTTTGAGTCAAATAACAAATTTTCAGAGGGACCTGGTAGCTGTTGATGTTGCACTATTGTCTGTGTAATATTGTCCTCCCGCTATACAAATGTAATTTGTTGTTGTTATTGATTTTTTGTGTGTGTGTGTGTGGATGACAGGCAACAAATGAGATTGGGATTATTAGATTGTGAGGTCATGAATCGCCTTAATTTGTTGAATCAAGTAACAAATAAAGTAAAATAAAAAGAAAGAAGAAACAACTTGCATTTTTATACACTATTACATCACAATAACTCGAAGGTAGTTACTATCAGTATAGTTACTGTCTTTGAAGACAAACCCACAGGCATTATCGCCCGCAAAGCCCAACAAACAACCTCGTCAGACAAGTCCGCTTGGTGTTATAATAATAATAATAATAATCTTTGCATATGATATAGCGCTTTTCACGTCTTCTAGATGTCCCAAAGCGCTTCACAGAATATACTGTAAAGTGAATTGACTGTATATTTGTGGGTGAACGGGGCAGCCAATTGCGCACAGCAATGTCCCACAAACAGTCGTAGATTGAAAATGACCAATTTATTATTGTTTTTGGTTTTGGAGGGATTATTATTAGGCGTGAGGAGTAAGGAAACTTGCCCAAGGTTTCGTCCTCTGCCTAGAATTGAACTCAGGTCTCTTACTTGCAAAGCGAGTGCTCTTGGTGTTCTGACCACTGTTTATGCCAAGGTTTGGGCTCTGCTAGTACAACAACAACTTATATTTATATAGCACCTTTCACACAGCTAGTGTCCCGGAGAGCTTGAATACATCAAATCAATGGGATTGATCAATGACCTCCTTCTGCACTGTAAATTGCTATGTTTCCAATAACGGTGAACCCAATGAAGCAATTAATTTTACATTCGCCAACCATTGAACAGAACGAACTTAGCAATACTATAGGTGGTAGAGCAACGTTAACAAATACTTGTTGTTACACCGAAACAAAAGTTACCATTACATTGTATTTGAAATTCACAACATGTAAATCTGCTGCCTTATCTGTGATACTTCAGCCCTGAAGAGTGTTTGGAGGCGTACAGATGTCAGCTGAACCCCAGTGCTGTTTGGGGCTAATGCATCCTAACATGCACTTCCTTTGAAGTGTTCTGTATGACACATCTGTAGAAAACTGAGCTGTGGGCATCCAGGTCAGATTCCCTTGGGAGCTGCACCATCATGTGCCTCAGCAACAACAGAGTCTTGGGAATGTAGAGGGCACTTGGTCGTTTGAAGGACTTGCCCTGTACATGCCTCGCATCAGCACATCTGAACTTAACTCCCCAGTGCAGTCGAGGCTGATGTCAGTATAACATTGCCACCTCCTGTATGAAATTAGCTGAGAGCGAAACATGTTTTTGAAAGGTTTTAATGGAAACGTGATTTTACTTTATTTTCCATTTCAGCGACATTTTGTTGTGTAATCTACACTGTCTAGTAACAATGGATTTTGTAGGGTTGCACCAGTACTAAAAAGCCCCCACTTTAATATTTAATATTTCAGTGCATTGTCTTTAAGATATGAGCTGTTGTTTCATGATAAACCTGTTATATTTATCTCGCTGTTTTATAAATGAAAATTTTGACCCATGCACTGATAGTGGAATTGTCAAGAGGAGAGTCATAAGGCCACATTGAACAACAATTTACAATACAAATTGACATTTATACAGCACCTTTCATGTTGGGAGGACATCCCAAGGCACTTGAGATTTGCAATCATATAACGACCTTCACTTAGGATAACGACTTCAGTGGGCTTCACAATCAGACCCTGACCAAGGGAGAAGGGGAGGGAGAGAGGGGAAAGGGAAGGTGATAATAGGCAAGGTCAAAGGGGTAGGTTTTTAGGTGGGATTTAAGGACTGATAGAGAGGCGGAGTCCCAGAGGTTAGGGGTGTAGTGGCTGAAGACTTGGTCACTGATGGTAATGCAGAGGGGGGCAGGAGATGTTCCGAGGCCAGTCCAACAGATGCAGACAACGAGGGGAGAGAAGAAGAGGGTAAGGAAGGAAGATGTGTAATAATAATAGTGATGGGTATCACTTGCTCCTGGCAGAGCCCAGGAAGTGAGGCTGTTGCTCATTCTCTTTGGCAGAGATGTGAGGAAGCAAATAATGTTAACTTCATCCAAAATGTGAGTTGCTGTAAGAACTGTTCAAGCTGAACCTTATCAACAACAACTTGAAGCCAGGTGCCGAACAGGTAAAGGAAAGCAAGGCCCTTGTTAATTCAGAATGGAAATTGAGGGATAAACAAAGCAGCATTATCATATTTGTTAAGCAAAATGTACACTTGCCACAATTTGGTAAAATTTAGATGATAAGAGCAGTCTTGATGATATAGTGGACAGAGTTGTGGCTTATGGACTAGAGATCGCTGGTTTGAATCAGGTCTGTGCTGACTTTGCTAGTCTCAGTCAGCCTTCCTTTGCCTTCCCAGAGATTAGGGAGGGTAAAATCTGATGGTTTCCCTGTTCCTGATCCCACTTCAGCATCCTCTACTATCTGTGTGTGTGAGATAGCCAGGTTGGTAGCACTTTTGCCTCTGAGTGAGAAGGTTGCTTCATGCACCACTTTGGGACTTTGACTCATAGTTTAGTGCATTGCTACATTGGTGGAGGTGCTATCTTTTGAATCAGAGGTTAAACAGAGTCTGTCTGTTCAACTGGCTATTAAGGATCCCATAGCAGTATTCGTTAAAGAAGGGAGTTTATCTTGGTTTCCTGGCGAACAATCTCCCGGATAAAATTGGTCATTCACTTCACATCTGTTTATGGTGTAATTCTGTGTTCAATTTGGCTGCCACATTTGCATACAAATACACAATCATTACACTTCACAGTACAAATCGTTTGAAGCACTTTGATACATGATAAGGCCCTATGCTGAATGCAAGATTATTTTAAACTATCATGTTATGTAAATGTAAGGATTATTATTGATCCTGAGTACTTGGAGAAATCCTGGAAATATAAATTAGTCATAAAGTTAACAAGCAATTTTCTTTTAGTTGGTAAAAAAGATCACAATATCATTTATTCCTTTTTTATGAAGACTTATTCAATAAAACATGACTTCTGAGTCCAGTCTTTTGTTTGTCTTTTTCTCATCAGTTCCTTGTTCCACAAGGTAAAGTACACACAAACAATGCAAGGTAAGCCCTGTGTACAGCACTATGAATTATTGAGATCTGTTATCTGTTATTGCTTTTAATGCCAATCGATTAAGAAGTGTGGAATAATGTATTATCTCAAATAATATTTAAATTGAAAAATCAATAGTACAAGATAATGCAAGGCTGGTCAATAGTTTATACTCGACACACAGCAGATTTTATAATTTGTAGAAATACGAAAGGACAAAATGTCAGGGGGAAAGTTATTAAACTCTATTAAATATTGACTTACACCAGACATGCTGTAATGCCATAAAAGTGGCCTCAAGCACAGTTGAAGCATGTGGAGTCCCATAGAATAGTGGTTAGAGCACTCACCTCCTAAACGAGAGGACCTGGGTTAGGACCTTAGGCAAGTTTCCTTACTCCAAACGCTTCTGTTTACCTCGCGGTGAGTAGGAACCCAGTTTTAGTCGATGTGAATTGAGTGTATAGTTTGTGGGTGAACTACGGCAGCCAATTGGCACTGTAGTGCCCCACAAAACGTCATGGATTGAGTGACCATTTCATTTTTTTAAGGCATTATTACCCACTGGAAAGCGATCCGCTAACATAGAACCGTAGGAACATAGGTACAGGAGGAGGCCGTTCAGCCCTTCAAGCCTGTTCTGCCACTTAATTAGATCATGGCTGATCTGTACATTAACTAATCCTTTCAATTCCAATTTCCCGCTTTCTCCCCATATCCCTTAGTACCCTGACCTACCAAAAATTTATCAACCTCACTCTTGAAGGTGTGGATGGATCCAACATCCACGGCCTTTTGGGGGAGAGAATTCCAGATTTCTACCACCCTTTAAGTGAAAAAATGCTTCCTGATTTCACTCTTAAATGGCCTGGTTCTAATTTTAAGATTATGCCCCCTTGTTTTGGATTCCCCCACCGGAGGAGATAGCTTCTCTGTATCTACCCTATCAAATCTCTTTATCATCTTATATACCTCAATCAAATCACCCCTCAACCTTCTAAACTCAAGAGAATGCTATCCAAGTTTACGCAGCCTTTCCTCGTAACTTAACCTTTTTAGGCCTGGTAACATTCTGGTGAACCTGCGATGCACCCCATCCAGGGCCAATATATCTTTCCTGAGGTGTGGTGTTCCTACTTACACAGAGTGTGTGGAGTAAGGAAACTTGCTTAAGGTTTCTCCCTGCCTGGGAATCGAACCCTGGTCCTCTAACTAATACACTACCAATACAATACTCTTATGTGGGATTATGGAGTCTGGTAAGGGAGCTGGGAGTCTGGCGTGTGGAATTGAATGGCAACATGGCTCGTGGACTTGCATTGTTCCCAGTAAACCCATCTATCGGCATTGGGTTAATGTGTACTGTATTCGATTTCAACTATGTTTGATGGCATGTGGAGGTTGTACAGTAGTGTAATATGGACTACAGATGTATCAGTGGTGAAAAAGTAAACCCTGAACAATAAGTTAGGATGCACCAGGACAGTGGAACAAGAAGACAAAAGTTTAGAGTTGCAAAATTCAGTGACAGATCATTTTTAAAATCTCAGCTGGTGGGGTAGGAGAAATCATGGTTAATAAAGGTTTTCCTCTAGCAGATGAGGTTTACTCCAGATACAAACAAGGTCCTCCACGTAGGAAGTGAAGCTGGGAACCAGATGTACTCCACAGGTGGGATAGCCATTGCCAAGAGAGAATTTGAAAGAGATTTTGGATGTTAGTTGACTCATTGCTCACCAAACAATTTGAGGCAGGAATAAAGAAGGCAATCAGAATGCTGGACTACATTACATGCCACCACCAGTGCCCACGCTTTCAGCCACTATGCCCTGAAACTTTGGAACACTCTTCCTATATCCCTCTACCTCATCCCTTCATTCCCCATCTTCAGGTCACACCTGAAGACCTTCCTCTTCGACTGTGCCAACGGTCACCTACCCCTGGATCAGTGCCATGCTCCGCCACTGTCAAGCGCTCTGGGACGCTACCCTGCATGAGGGGCGCTATAAAAATTCAAGTTGTTGTTGTTGCCAAATCAGTTGAGTTCACAGCTCCAGATTT